TTTTTTTTTTTTTTGGTTTTTTGAGACAGGGTCTCACTATGTAGTTGAGACTGACCTGGAATCCCTATGTAGCCCAGGCTGGTCTCAAACTCGCCAGATCCTCCTGCCTCAGCCTCCCGGGTGCTGGGATTACAGGCGTGCACCACCACGCCCAGCCAGTAATTTTTCATACATACTTAGAAGTGAATTTCTGGATCACATAGTAATTCTGTACTTAACTTCTAGAGGAACTGTAAGACTATTCCACAGCACCTGAACCATTTTACATTACTACCAACAACATATAAAGGCTCCAGTTTCTCCACATCCTACCCAACACCATATTTTATGTTGGTTTGCTTTTAAAAATTATCATAGCAGTCTTACTGGAGTATGATATGGTATTTCATTGTTTTGATTTGCATTTCTACAATGACTAAAAATGCTCAATTTTTTTATATCTCTGTGCCATTTATTAATCTTTTTTGGACAAGCTGTTACCGCCCTCCTCCCTTTTTTTACTCCAGTTTTTTGTTTTGTTTGTTTCACTGTTTGTTTTTGGTGTCCTGGGAGTTGAACCCAGGGACTTCACACTGGGCTACATCCCCAGTCCAGATTTTATTTTGAGACAGGGTCTCCTAAGTCGCAAAGTTGCCCAGGCTGGCCTTGAACTTGTGATCCTCCTGCCTCATGCTCAAAGGAGGCTGAGATTACAGGCATGTGTCACCACTTCCGTCTCCCTTTTTGAAGGCTGAATAATATGTTTTACACAGCCACATTTTATCAATTCATTTGGATGGAAATTTGCTGCCACCTCTTGGCTATTGTGAATATAATCAGTAACTTTATGAACATAAGTGTGAAAATATCTGAGACCCTGCTTCCAATTCTTCTGGAAATATACCGAGAAGTGTGATTCCTGGATCATATGGTAGTTCTACTTTTAATTCTGATATTGTTAGTTGTTAAGGCAGGGTCTCCTGTGTAATTTAGGCTGGCCTTATAATAATGAGCACACCCAGCACCTATATCTTGGTTTCGAAATACCAGGTCCCACTGAGTGTGGGGTTGGGGAAAAGTTTTTGAGACACCGTACTTGGCTCCAAATCTTGGACAAATGAAGAACAAAGTAAATATTTATGCCAGAAAGAAAAAAATATCACAAAGACTTAACATCTGTAAAAATATCAGAGATAAAGGTACTCTGATATTATGAGAAAAGCCATCAGACAAATCCAAAATGTGGATTCTTCTACAAGACAACTGACTTAAAATCCTAAAAACCGGTGTCATAAAATATAATGAAAAAAAGATGGTGGCAGTTGTCCTAAATTATTATTTTTTCATTAAATTTATTAGGACACTTCAGGTATACAGTACAATGACATTCATCATTGGGAATTTGTACCGCTACGTGATATATCTTTATTCTTACTTTTTCCCTATTTCCAATTGTTCTAAATTGAAAGCATCTAAGGGGATTTAATCAGTGCAAGGCATGAACTTTGATTAGATCCTAGATAGTGTTAAGAATGAAGAAGGAAAATGTAAAAAGGCATTTTAGGGAGAATTGCTAAAAATTAAACTGGGACTTTCATAAGATGATGTTACCAGGGCCAGAGATGTAGCTCAGTGGCACTGTACCTGCCTGGCAACCGAAAAGTCCTGAGTTCAATTTTTGGTACCAAAAAAAAGATTGTATTACCAAAGTAATGTTAGTTTTTAGGTGTGTTATGGCTTCTATCTGGATGTCCACCCAAAGCCTTGTGTAGTCATAGGTACGGTTTTGGGGAGTGACTGAGTCACGGGTGTGTCACACCGGATCAGTCCACTGATGGGTTTACAGCTGGGTTGATGTTGGGAGGTGAGGCATGGTGGGAAGAGGCGGGTCACTGTGGGTGTGGCCTGGGAGGTCTGTCTCCCTCCTCCTCCCTTGATGGTGCAGCTTCCTGCCTGCCATGCCAAGGACTGTTTCTCCTCTGCAGTGCCCCTCTGTCATGCTGTCCTGCCTTGGAGCCAGCTGATTATGGACTGAAACCTCTGCAAACTGTGAGTCAGAATAAACTTCTCCTCCTTTAACATTTGAGTCAGGTATTTTGTCCCAGCAATGAGAAAGTCAATAAAACAAGATGTGATAATGATATTGAGGTTTTTGTGGCAAAATATCTTTATTATTGGGAGATGAATGATATAATGTTCAAAGGTGAAATATGATAGTGTTTGCATTCTATTTTCAAACAGTTTAGGTTAAAAAAAGTAAGTAAAATTTTCCCTCAGGATCTGTGAGGGATTAGTTCCAAGAGCCCTGTAGATTCCAAATCGGTGGATGCAAAACTTCCTTTAATGAAATGGCCTAGTAGTTAATGCAACCTATATATAACTTCCTGTATACCCTAAGGCATCTGTAATTACTTATAATACCTAATAAAATGCAAATGCTATGTGAATAGTTTTTATATTGTTATACTATAGGGAATAATGACCCCAAAAATGTCAGCCAGGAATAGTAGTGGCACATGGCTATAATCCCAGATACTTTGAAAAGCTGAGGACCTCATACAGTTGAGGTCAATTTGGACAGTATAGTGAGAGTGTGTCTTAAACAAAGGTGGGCTGGTGATGTACTCAGGGGAGAGCACTTGCAAGGTGTTGGGTTCAGTCCCCAATTCGCGTGCGTGTACACACACACACAATCTACCTTCAATACACATGCAACC